CAATTCAAAAGACAGTCATCTTTATAGTCACCGCGAGAACCTGAAAACTCAACTTTCGTCTTTGTGCCCTCCTTCTTCCGCGTTCAGTTTCAATGGCACAGAAACCACCCTGACCGCGACTCAAACCCAAGACACTTTCTCGGAGTCTTGATTTTCCTAAACTATCTTTCTGTTTTCAAAGCATAAACATCTTAAGCATGCCAAGTTTGGGACAAATCTGTGTGCCCATTCTCGAGCTTTAAGCGAACAACGCCTAAAATGTCAGTGTCACGTAAGACAATCGGACGACGGAAATGTGCAACTACGAGGAGCTTAGAAACGCAGGAACTGATCCACTTTATGTTCCCCCCGGTGGCTTGACGTGAAACAAGGAGCGCTTCATAAGTGACACGCTCTAAGGTAATATTTCTGGAATTACAGAACTCGTGTGACCTTGGCCCAGATAAAGTCTCCAGCCGCGTGGGTTTAAATTACACTCACAGGTAGCTTCATGTGGGGGAATTTAAATTGCAGAGAGAGAGACTGACTGTCAACGAACATGAAACAGATCAAGGCAAACATACTGCATATATTGGCTGTTTAAAAATCAATACGTCATAGATTCAGGCCGCTTGCTGGAACATTGGATGGAGTTCCAAACAGTGCCCGAGAACACAGCACACGAAAGATCTATGAAGTCGAGATTTCAGGTTATCACCGACGTTTCAAAGGTGCTTACTGTCTCCACATAAGTGCGACAGCTTTGATGATCGAGGCAGTATGCACTTTCGAAACGTCGGCAAATTATTCTGAATTTTACTTTATCAATTCCTGGATTTATCACAAATGCAACACTAAATGAATACCTGAAGGGAAGAGACCGCTGGGGAGACCTAGACGTAGATGGGAGGATAATCTCAGGCGGGATCTATGGGAGATAGGAGTTGAAGGAGACTGGATTTTGTTGGCCCAGGACAGGGTCCGGTGGAGGGCTTTGGTTAATTCGGTGATGAACCTTCGGGTCGATAAGCCATCTAGTTAGTTAGTTAGTTAGCAACACTAAATGACATCACCAGTTGATGAGAGGTGGTGTTCACTGGACCACTGATAGAATGACGCACAGACTATTTGATGTCATTGTCGAGTGGTTAATAAATCTATTTTATCTACCTTGGAGGTCCCGTATTCGAAACTCGGGGTCCGGAGGCGATCTATCTTGAGGTTCTCAGCGGTCAAATACCGGACTAGCAACTTAAATACTGCGTTCATAGTTATTAACTTCGCGAGAATCTCAAATCACACGCGTTTGTTTATGACAACCGTTTGCCTAAACTTCGCTCAACGTTGTTACTTAGATGTAACATTATTTTCATATCGCACCTGAAATCTAAGGTTAGAACTCATAAATATTTAAACTCTGATGCTTGTTGATAACTTCGGGGTTGTTTAAAGATGATAGTTGAACCCCGTATTCGTCCAGGATTGGAAGACGTCATGGCACAAGGCAGGAGATTACAACGGAATATAATCGGAACGCAGGCAAGGCGACGTCTCAGTCGAAAGCTGACATCAACAGTCCTACACATCTGGGACAACCCTGACTGTGAATTTGACTAAATTAATTAATGGTCTTATTTAATCCCCTGCGATTACTAACCCTTCACCCCTCCTTATTAAGAACCTATACATTCTTGCGTTTATCTATACACGATACTTACTTTCTGCGGTTTAACTCTTTAAAGTCTAGTCGTAACTATACATTCACCTAATTTAACAATAAATAATTCTGCATTTTGTCTACAGACTGCATTAATCGGTTTTGTGAGATTCTCAGAGTAAACAGCGATTATTTCCTTAAACAACATTAACTACATATATATATTTATTATTCAAGTCATATACACAAACTTTTAAATTTTGATGTTAAAATTTAAAATTTAAAATTTAAAATTGATATTCTGCGCCATTCATCGTTATCTCGATGTTACAATGTTGCGCTTTAATATTTCTACATGTTTCGATGTCATAGCATCATCTTCAGGTTTTTATATTTAAAACTATTCTATATTTGTTAATGCAAGCTTTTTGTTGATTGTAGATTACTATTGTGGGTGTTTTCTTTGATCTTCTTATTATTTTGCATATTATGTTGCATATTATGTTAGTTGTTCATTGTTCTGTGAAATTATTAACAATATAATTAACATTTGAGTTATTAATATTATTTATTATTAACATCAAAATTTAAAAGTTTGTGTATATGACTTGAATAATAAATATATATGTGAATTATAAACACAAACATGACGCATCAAAACTATAAACATTAACTAATTTAATTTTGTAATGGTCACGGGTTGTGTTTTCTTTGAGGTGCGGACTGAATAATAAAATATTATGAAGACGAGCTTCGGCTTCAAAGGGTTTAAAAGAGACATTGAATAATCCAACTAGGAAACACATATTGCTACTTTTTAACACCCCGTGTCACGATTGAGTCGACCGAACAATATAAAGTGCTTTAAATTATAAAGAAACCTTTTGAAATTCGCCGTCAGTTCTGGTAAAGCACGTCACGTGACCATTTTCGTGCTTCCAGCCATTTGTCAATAACACTGAACTGCTGTGTCAACCAATGTTTCATACCTACGTATAAACGACCAAATGACATTTAAATGCGTCATAAAATATATGGACTTGACAGAAAAAGACGGAGTTCTGTAAATGCTGGAAGGTTTGAGTCAAATTAAATTTTCCAGGAATGGTATTTTTTATTTTATATGGGTGTGAAACCTGGTCTCTCACAATGAGGGAACAACACGGATTGTGGGTGTTTTAGAACAAGTTAGTATGTGGACCTAATGGAGAGGATGGTGGAGAAAACTTTGTAACGAAGAGATGCATAATTTATCAAAATAATTATATATTACTAGAACGATCAAATCAAGGAGGATAAGATGGATGTAGCGAAAATGGAGGAGATGAAAAATGCCTAAACATTCTGGTTGAAAAGTCTGAAGAAAAAGACCACTGCTGTAAAATCCTCTGAAATTTCGGTCGATACTTACCAGACATCCCAGAAGACAGCCATCTTTAAACAGCAACATCAAACACAATTAGAATGCAATTCCAGGGTTAAGGAGTACAGGGAGTGACTGAGAGCGGTGACCTGTTCCTTGCAACCGAAAGAAGGGTTTTATATTACCGGGACACGCAACGGAGTCGACGCCGGGGAAGGAGACTTTAAGTAATAATTCTCCATGACCAGAAGTGTTGGAGTTTATTTTTGGTTTATTTAAATACGATGACAATACCGCAAAAGACAAATCAACAAATTACGGGGTGATTACTGGATACCAAATTATTAAGAACGTGGGCGTGGCCTCATGTGTGGTAATATCTCGGCATCTGCCTGGAGTGACCGAGGGAAACCATAAAAAATCTCACAATATAGATAATCATTATCAAGGCCAAGATACAAACCCGGGATTTCCCTAATCTGAAGCAGGACTACTATCCACTTGGCTGCAACTGTACGAGGTGCGATCGGAAAGTTTCAAGACTGTGTCAATAGAGGGCGAACCGGATGTAGTACGAGCTTCTGCCGTTAGGGGGTGCGGCCTACATTCATAGTGAATCAGTGTGCCAGC